GTGGTAAACCCGTCAATTGGCCAAGTCTCTTCATCATGTCAAACAGGTTATTTGTTTCGCTCTAGTGATTGCAGTCCTCTGCCGGTGTATCATCGTAACAGCAAGCAAATATTTCAAAAATCAATGAGAAAACTCCTGTCGCCTTCACTCTTATTAGTTCTACAAAACGACTAAATAAATGTTGGGACGCTTTCTTTTGGTTTGGTGGACTGGAATGAATCTGCTCAGTTATGTAAGGTAGGTGTCGGTTTAAAAACGATAATACAAATTGCCTCGTATTGTTTATAGATGTAATTACCTGGTCCTTGTCCACAGTTGCTTTACGGCAGAATTTCGACTTTATTAGCCCAACCTTTTGTTTATTCCTGCTAGATTTTAAGACACCAAGGCTATTATGTGTTTAAATCTCAGCTGCCGATACGACCTGACAACGTCTGATGACATTTTCCGTACAAGCCACGCAAATGTTCTGTGCATCCCTGTTTGTTTTATCTTATCTTTCATGATAATATTTAACCATAGCAATTTATGAAACTTCAAACAACTGAAGAAATAATTCTTGACAAGTTCTTATCAAGCTGAGTTCTAAATGTCCCAGGAAGAGAGCCTGGCAGTTTTTCCTTTCGTCAGCGATCGACAGCACCGATCTAAAAACGGATGTGCTCGGTTGCTTTGCTGGTCAGAGGTATCGAGTCGGGAACTCTAACAACGCATGCGTGACGATAGCAAGCAAAAGAAAATAAATACTAGAGAACAGATCAGCCGTACTTATACATGGCTCTCTTCCAGTCTATTTTTAGCTGAGTCGGTGTCTTTCTTTTAACCAACTTTCACAGCACGTGTAAAGCAAAACTAGCGTAGTCATTTGGGTAAAGCCAAGCTTGGTAGTTTATCTCAAGGTCCTCTTCGTTTATTTTCATTGGCTTCCTGTTTAGGGTTTATTGTTTCCTTTCCGATCTGTACCTTTTTACCTCCAAATGTTTGGTACGGTTCTGGCAGATACTACAACAATATGAAAAAAGCTTATCTACGAGTTCTTTGAGCTCCAACAAAAAGCCGACTGTCCCGCTTATAAATTCACAAGCCTCTTCACTGCAGATTATACCCCACTTGTCTTTAAAGAAGAGCCAAGCTCACCCGTTAGGGTAACACATGACGCACGACCTGCTGTTTCACAAAAAACTGTATCATAAAATAACATTTTAGTAAAATCCAACTAGCGGTCTATTATCATTGCTGCGTTCTGATTGGTCGAGATACTACTAGGCTATATGTTATAGCCCCCTAGTAACGAAAAGCGCCGGCTTTGAAAACCGAAACAATGGCGGCTGAATCGCGAAAGTTGTTTTGTCTCGTTATTTTTGACCAACTAGTTGGATTTTACTAAAACAATTATTCCTCGAGCCCGAATGGCCACTGAGTCAATAGCCCATTCGGCCTTCGGCCTCATGGGCTGTTGACTCAGAGCCCAATCCGGCTCGAGGAATAATTGGTAAATATTCATTAATATACATTTTTTAGATCGTCTTTGTCAACATCATTTAATTCAACTGAATGCAACAGCACCGACTCCTTGGTGAGACGTCTAATGTCTGGTAAGAGTATATAATATGGTAACAGTCGAAGAATATGTTGTAAAAGTATTTGGCTAATTGTCTAAGATTACAATCACACGTTGGATTCATTATCAGCGTTATTAAGTCGTTAAGAACGACTTTGGTTCTTGCTGCGGCTCAGCTTCAAGCTTCCACACTTAAAAGTCTTTCAACATAATTATCATCATCTGACAGTCGCAGACCTATTTCTTCCTCCACACGTTTCCCTTTAGCCAGTGAAATGGTTTTAATTTCATGGCTGCCATTCAGATGTGTGTTAGCACAAGTGTAATTCCTTGCTACTCCCGTCTAATCCTCTTAAGGTCGTCAATGAAAAGGGCGCGAGATACGTTTATGTCAACTCGTTAAAACAACCTGTACCCTTGTAATGTTTTTAATTTCCTCGACATGGGATTCACACATAATGATGATTATTACTGAACTGCTAATTGAATGTCTTGGGGATTAACAAAATTTTAATATTAAGATTAACCTAATATATGTTATTTTTAACTATATTATCATATTATTATTAATTATTATTATTATTATTATTATTATTATTATATATTATCTGATTGTTATTATTATCATTATTATTATTATTATGCTTCAATAAGACCAACACAATCATTATTGCATAGTAAACTTGGACGTATAGAGACTAGTAACCCTCAGACCTCAGCCCCAACCCCCATGCACATAGTATATGACTATATTATCACTGTCATCACAGTAGCTTTCACTAATGCTATGATCTGTTTGTTACCTAAGCGCTCTAGAACAACAAGTAGTTATTATATTGGTCTTGTGTGTTTCGATAGTACTCGCCCTGATCCTCGATGACTGGTACGATACTTGATGATACTTGACGATAAAAAGACCTTGCGAGAATCGTGTATCGAGTTGAAACGTCGTCAGGGAATCGAGATCCGAAACACGAATGTAAAATGGGTTCAATCTTTTAAAGCTCAAAAGCTTTGCAGCAGTCGCGATCGTCTCTTGAAGAGAATACTGTTAGCGTCATTCGATAAAAATTTCAAGTTTCACTGTTTTTAAATGTTTTTGCCAACGGACTTCGTTCGTTTTAGGCTGAATATCAGTACGTGTGGCTTCCATTGAATTGAAATAAGACCGTTTTAGTATTCTCTATTCGCTACTTTCACATTCCCATAATACACCTTGTTTACCCCCCTCCCCCCCAAAGTTTTGCATAAGCATTGTTTCTAAATCCACCGTACCTAAAACGATGGCGACTAGTACATTTACCCACAGTTCTTGACGGATGAAAACCATAAAATTGCTCATAAAAACGCACGGAAAAGTTTCATAATTTTCAGACCTAGGATAGGCAATGTTGTTATTACGGGGACGAATTCTCCCCACCCCCCCCAAATATGACTTTATGTGTAATTGGCCGTGTTGGGTTCGAAAGGAATTGTGGTGAAATGTACAGCCGCCATCAATAGTCAACCTAATTAGCATTCTATTGGTTCAAATTCATCCCCTGACTTCAATGACAAAAAGGCTCTACACGTGATTTTATTTGACGGTATTTCGTTCATTTTAGGCTAACTATATTTTTGTGCCTTCTGTCGATTTGTGTTAATTTGTGTTAAAAATTCTTCCATGGAATTGAAACAAGCGTGACTGTTAAACATAATTCTAGCCGTTCAAGATAAATTCTTGGTATATAACATATTTTGTAAGTATTCTTCTACATGAAATACATTCGAACCTCCCGTAAGCAAACTGCCAATGCAAAACACCCAAAATCTACTATTAGTCGCTCACAGGAGGTGGTCTCTCTCGAATCGAACCGTACAAGGGGTTTTCCGAGTAGAGCTGAGGTTCCGACAGATCTACTCTTTGTGACAGATTTTATTGTATTCAATTACGATTTGTGTAGTTCTGTGTTAGCTGTCAACAAAGGTTCTTGGTATACTCTGTTTTAAGCTTAGTACATACAGCGAACATAGAGACTGGGAACATAAGTCAAGCAGCTTGAACACAGGATGAAATTATAATCCGTCACCCAATATAGTGGTCGCAGTCGCTTACGAGAGGTTTTCGTTAACGTGAGGTTCTAAGCATAAGGCTTTGTCTGGGAGAGATTTTGGCGTTTTCGCCTTAATGAGGTGAAGTGGTCGCTCACGAGAGTTGTTCGCACAAGAAAGTTGAACTGTAATAATCCTAATAAGCATCCCATTGGTTCAGTTTGACTCAACCCCTTATACCCCTGAGGTGTAATTCAGATCAATTCCCTGACTCTTCACTCTGGGCGAATTATTTGGGGTATAAAGGCTCTTCATACAGGCGCTTATAATCGTGTATTTAGCTGTTTAGCTGTGTATCTAATTAAACAATACACTTTCTGAATATCTATGAGCTCTTGAAGGCGAGATCACGGATCAGCTCTTTAGAGTCATATGAATTCTCATGGTTTTTTTTTACCCTTGTTATCAGTGATTATAACGCAATTTATAATAATAGCTGTAACAATTATCACTTGAGATCGGTTATCAAAAAAAGATTAAACGGACAAACTTTTGTTAAGGTCATTTGGCTGAGCTGGGTTGACAAGTGCCTTTTCCATGAAATACGAAAACTTTACAATGTATACCTGGTTTATTTTACCCAGTGTAACTTTCCACCTTAACCGGACTCCTTAATAATATACTTCTAAATAAATTACCACATGCCCTTACAAAAAGATCCATTATGCTTATATATCTTATGACGGAATAAATATCTTTGATAATCCGGCAAATTAATGCAAAAAATTGAAACAGGGATGAATTAACAGCAATTAACGTGTCCATACTTCTTTTTATGCCATCGACTATTCTTTCTCTAAGGACTTTTTTTGGGTGGCTCTCAGTAAACATCATACTGTTCAACTTATAGGACCAAACTTTAAGCCGATTACAGAATTGTTGATGTGCGTGTTATGCGTTATACCTACCACAAAGACTGCCTGCATAATTCTAGACAAAGAGAAACGAAAACAAGCCTCCTTTTTAAAAAATTGTAAGATACGCATGGGAAACCGGCTGTATTTCTCCGTTAGTCAACTAGCTGGTCAATGAACGGTAGATTTCCCTGACTGTGTCTTTAACAGCCTGTCTTACTTCTTTGATTTTCCAGCAATAAAGCAATGGGTTTAATGACGAATTTAGAAAAACCAAAGTAAATGAAAACGTTTTAGCAAGATAAACCGAGGAAGAAAACTTAACGCTTTTCAGATGTGTTATGAAGACCTGTGTTATGCAAAAAGGCAAATAGCAAACAAATAATGTGACCTGCACCCACAGTGCACTGTACACTGCCTTTCTGTATCGAGCTATATTCAATGGCAATGATATTGCTTGCCTCGGTTCTCCTTGAAAAACGTTTTTCTTAGCTTCAGCTTGATATTGACGGAGAGTGAAGAAGATTTTCATGTAAGAGAAAGTTGACGTGGATATACACACCGACAAATGTGTGTAGAGAAGTGGCGAAAATATAACGGGATTCCAAAAGTAGCTTGTTGTGCCGACAACGGACAAAGCCCACATAACGATTACGGTTGGATAAACACTTTTCAAAGTTACAACTTTTTCTGTATCTGAGTCCCAACAACATGGCGAGAAGTCTGTCCACGCTTATTGCAGTCAATATAAACAAAGAAACTGCACACAAAATATAACTAGCGACAAAGAGTGCCACGTAAAAATTATAGCAAATATCCCATCTTTCATTCTTCACAGACATCAAATAGGCAACGCAAAGAGGCTGAACAATGACTCCAACACAGAGATCAGTTATCGCTAGGCTTCGATACAGAAGTTTGGACGGCGGGTAAAGTGAATTTTTCCTGCGTAGAGCCATGAAGATTAGAGTGTTCCCCAAAAATGCAGTAATGGACAGAAAAATGTTTAGCGTGGAAAGGGCGATTAACTCGTCATGGACGTTGGTTAGCTCTACTGAACAATACAATTCTGTGATGGCTTTTTTAAGCGTTGGGCCTGTCATCATTTTCTCTTCAATATTGAATACGTGCAAGTAATCGCGAGCTTGGTAATGATAATTATGGCTTCTTACATTGAAGATTTCGTATTCTAAATATTTCATCAATCCATGTTAATCGAATTGTTAGTCACGTCGTTTCAGCTTTCTTTCGTGCGATATTTTAGCTATTACACGTGTAATAAATATCCCATTGGGATACTCATTACCCCAGTGATTACGAGAACAAATTCATACTTTCTATATCATAACATTCATTTATTCAATCAGTCAATCAATCAATAACTTCATAACATGTTGGAAAACTTCTAGCACGCCACAAAGTGGGCACTAATCGGGGACAATCGATTTTGAATTTGACGGTGATGGAAGAAAAGAGAGAAAACGAGGAAACGAATGTAAATTGATTGTATATAGTATTCAGTAATGTAAATTATATAAACCTCAAATACACATCAAAAGCAAATCACATAAATGTCAAATACGGAAAATGATCTTTCACGTTACTCGATGAGGAAATATTTACCTTTAGACACAGTTTTTGTTCCTGCATGACAAGTTTGTCTGTTAACGTTCATAGTAATTAAATTTCAAGTTGGTGACTAAGAACCTCATGTCAAATCATTGAAATAGTAATTAGTCGAAAACTTATTAAAATAATTAGCAAATGATCTATATTCACACAGTTTTTACACACTGGGATTTATTTAATTGCTAGAAACGTTTTTTTCTTTTTTAAGTTATCAGCAAGTAAAGCATTCGTATCACATGACCCATGTTCAAAAAAACCTGGAAACTAGAAAAATTTGAAGCCCATTTAACGTTTAATACTTTTTGTTCAGTTTTCGCGCAATTTAGCGAATAACGGCTGATCTTTTTCCTCCACACAAAACTGTTTAGGTGGGAAATTTAAGACCCTATCTATTGCTTTCCGTATAAGTTTCCCTTATACGGTACCTAGCAACGGTTGGACGTATTATTTCTTGCTCCCTATCATTTTGTGACAATCAGAACTTAATTTTGATGCGCCCTCGAACCTGACAAATCACCCGGCTTCACTTCATTTTGTCAGTCCTTTCTTTTAAGCCACTTTTTGTAGCCGCAGTAGGCACAGTTCGGAATTTCTATGAGCCATGTTGTTTGCTGCTTTAGTCGTTTGAAAAGGTTGTGTTTCATGGATGTTGTTCCCCTCTAGCTTCCTGACATGTCGCGTATTAAGAGTACAACGGTTTATCTGCACGTGTTCTCTTTACATTGTAATGTAAACTGTACGGTCGGACGTCAGCACACAATGGTCGAAACTTTTTTTATTCACCAATCTTCAACGTGGGTGCGCACGTGCGTACGTCCGTTCGTGCGTACGTGCGCACGTGCGCACAGGTAGCTACGCCCAATCCGCATGTAAACAGCTGTCTACTTTTCCACCAAGATCCTCGATTTTTTTCTCTTTGACGTTAATAAGTAGTACATTTTCTTGAATTCTACTTGAAAGAAACCGTATTTCATCTTATTCAGTGATTCTTTTAGTGGTTGAGGTCTAACTGTAGTGCTTTCGACGAAAATGGTTTCTACTCACATCGCAGGAGCCTGCTGACCTTAGCGCATTGCTTATTGATCTACTTCTTCCACTTGAGTTCATCCGCGATGTAAACACTCCGCCGGGGAAGCTTCAAGCTGAGAGCCGCCCTTGTGATAGCCATAGGTGACAGGCGTAAGTTTCCTAGTGATGCGTTGCTCTTTGCTTTTGCTGTAGTTAAAGTTTAATTTAGGCCTCGTTTTAACCTAGTCCACCGATCCAGTCTATTCAGGAGAATATCAACAGGATGTAGCGAGCAAGTACATTAGAGAAACTTTTGCATGGAATGTATCATCGCAATGGTCGCGATCTGGCTTGATCTAACTGCATCAGCCAGAGAAATCACATATAACATAGGGTCCAGAATCGAACCCTGTGGGAACCCTGACGTCATAGGTACGGGGCTGGATGTCGCATCCAATGATAGTTTCCCAAAGAAGCTGTAACATGTTACATCACTTTAGTCTATAACTGAGGACGATTTCAAATTTGTTAATTTACTGGTTAATAAACTTTCTACCTGTTTCTCTGTAATTCTCTTTACCGTTTGATATGTTGATGTAAAGATTGAACAGAAAGAAGCGAAAACATGCTGCCTTTTCAGTACTGTTAGTTTTACGCAACATTTTGAGGGCACACCCGTGCTGATCTCAATTCAGTTGGCTGAATTTTAATTGCCGATCAACTAGTTTGATAAGCAGCATATTAAATGTCTTATTGTTTCTTTAACCGCTTGTCTTACTTCTTTGATCTTCCAGCAATAAATGAAAGGGTTTAATGACGAGTTTAGAAAAACTAAAGTATATGTAAACGTATTGCCAAGGTAACCCGATAAAGAAAACTCGGAGCTTTCATAGTGAATCAAGGCTTGAACGACAAACGGCAGATAACAAACAACCAATGTTCCCTGCACCCATAGTGCACTGTACACCGCCTTTCTGTATCGAGCTATGTTCAGTGGAATTGCTTGAACCGGTTGTACTTGAGGTACCTGGCCCTGATGGGCTTGAATTTGGTGATGATGGAGAGTGAAAAAAATTTTTAGGTAAGAGAAAATTATTGTGGGTAAACAAAATGACAGAAGTGTGTAGAGAAACGGTATGAATATATCAGGACTCCAAAAAAAGCTTGACGAGCCAGCAATGGACAATACCCACATAAAGAATACAGATATATAGACTTTTTTCAAAGTTACAGCTTGTCTGTATCTCAGCCCTAACAACAGGGCAAGAAGTCTGTCCAGGCTTATTGCAGTCGATGCCAACAAAGACACTCCGCACAAGATATAACCAGCAAAACCAGCTACCGCAAAAACATGATAGCAAATATCCCATCTTCCAGTCTTCAAAGACATCAAATAAGTAATAAAGAGGGGTTCCACGATGATGCCAACACAGAGATCAGTTACTGCTAGGTTGCGATACAGGAGTTTGGACGGCGAATGAAGTGATTTTTCTTTGCGCAGGGCGGCTAGGATAAGGGTGTTCCCCAGAAATGCAGTAATGGACAAAAAAATATTTAGCACTGAAAGGACGATAATCTCGTCATGAACTTCAGCGGTGAATTCTGCTGAACAGTGCAATTTTGTTATGTTTTGCTTGTTTTTAGCAAGATGTGTTAGTTCTGCCATCTCTCTTCTAATGTTGAGTAGGGGCGCTGAGTGAGTTTTGCTTTGTCATATATGGTTTCCTATTACGAAGGTCGTCGTGCTAACATTTCAATCGTGTCAGTAAAAATGCAAGCAAAGTGCGTGGTAACTTCTTTTGGCGATCTTTCATGTTTGACATGTTTAATCAATATAAACCCACGGTTTTCATGCAATTATAAAGAATATCCTACTTCTTATTGTTCTTTAACCCTTAAAAACATAACTTTCTTGTAAGCTTCCTTCGATATGTTTAAATTGAACTTATAATGGGACGGGCTACAGGACAAAAGCCGAAAAAAGTAATAACCTTTTTGTGGATTGTATATTGTTGTCAATGGTGCCTGTTATTTGAATTAGATCAAATTGTTATCAATAATCATAAAGCAAAAGGAAATGAAAAGAAAAGTGATCTTGTGCGACAGTCGGGAAAGCCGTATGGGGAAGTGTTGACTTTATAACGCTTTTCCTGTTCCAATGAAGCAAACGTGTCCGTTTATGACAGGTAGCTTTGTGTAGGTGACAAATAAACTCATGTCAAACGTATTAGAAGACTTGAAATTTATTAGTCTAAAACTCTACGAATCGGAAGAACGTGATGTTAAAGTATTTTAGCACTGCTGCGGTTCAAAATTGAGCCGTTTTGTTGAAAAATAAACAATAGCCGTGCTTGGCTTGAAAAAGAAAGGGTTCATAGACTCATGGTTAAAACATATCTTAGCTTCTTCTTTTAGATCTCTTCTAAAGATTGATGTGAAAACATTGATTTTTACCTATGTTATGATTAGGACAGCTACTCAGAACGTTTGGGTCCTAATTGTTCCGAACTTCCCTAGATCTCTGAGTCACATACTGAATGATTCGACCTCAAACTGACTTCCCTTCTATTGTCATTAAACTGAATTATATTTCTGATTTTTGGACCTCCTGATGATTCAAACCAATTGATAAAAGCTTTTCCCCCCAGATGATTCGAAAAACGGGATTCTACTGTATAACACTATTAGTATTTGTCTAACCAGTCACGTACGAAGTACAACACAAGCGTAGAAAGGGTATTTATCGGCCCGCAAACAGAAGAATAAGTTAAGGCAGTGGAGTTAAAATACAGTGAAATCTCCGCAGCATAATAATTATTAGTATAAATACCATGTACGTTCTCTTCTAATCATTTAAATTTGCCTTCGTTATCAAATTACCGCAGTGTTCAACTATCCTTTTGAGGGCGAAGTAGGGTTATAGCAGAATTCTCTAGACTAGCTTTCTCCTCATATTATCTCTATTTTTTTTTTTTAAAGTAAATAACAGTTAAATATGCTTTCTTGTCACGATGACCCATTGAGCACTCAACCCGTTATAAGGTCTGTTAACCCTATCATACCACTCAAAACTGGTCTTTTTTTTGCACCTTGCGACAGGGGATGGCCTCCTTGAGCCCCCTTGTATAACATCAAAACCGCTGGTGGTACAGCCACCAAATGAACTCCTCCAATTTCCATGGCCACCATCTAAACATAACTTGATTGACACAATGACGTAATTTGATGCCATGATTACATCATTTTGTTGAAATAATTATTGGCAGAATGAAAAATTCCATCAATTTTTCCTCTCAAAATGAAAATTACTTAAATAGTAATGTATGTGACAAGATCAAGACGTTGGATGACACATTAGTTATCTTTAACAATAGCAGTGATGCCATGATGACGTCATTTATTAGAAGGATCTTGAATCATTCACCATCTTTGATCCGCCATTTTGAATCAATTAAATATCTTCAATTTTGCTTAAAACCCGTATAAATCGAGGTAATCGGGGGTAAATATTGATGTGTATAAGAAGGATGCTTAGAAAGTAAGAAAATCTACAAGTTGTGAAATTTCGAGAGAAGTTAACACTGTTAAGAACTAAACCTAGTATCTGTCATTGGGACATTTTAAATTCATGTTTTTTTCTCAAATCTGTCACTACAAGCCTGGATTACACTGAACGTGATAATAAATTTGATAAATGTATTTCTAACTTAAGTGTAATGCTATAATTCATTAAGTAAGCTTTAAGTAAAAATAGAAATAGAGACTTTTTTTGTATTTTCTTAAAACAAGAAAAGTTTGTAGCTATTGTAGCCAATAGTGTTTTTTGAAATAGTACTTCACTGTATCGTACTTGAGTTCAACAATTTCATTTCCTAGTATATTTAGTTAGGATCATCGTAATGACACGCATATTTAAGCACTCATCAAAAAAAGACTATGGCAAAATACGGTTTGACATCCTGCTCTGACCACGTCCAACCAACTAATTAACATAATATTCTGTGCTCAATTTACTAATTAAAATATGAACAGTACAAAGACCTGAAATCTTGTCAAAAATCCCACGTGATACTTACTACAACATGACTGTAATTTTTTTAGTATGCTTTAGTATCTGTAATATTTAAGGGGACATTACGGTTGTTTTTTTTTTAGGAAATGATGTTGATTTGGGAAGGAAACAAATAAGGGTAGAAAAAGTATACACATAAACCAGTTAGTCCTCTAAAAGGATCAAAGGCAGCTTGTGGTGGTGTAGACTGTCTAGTATTTGTCTACTAATTATTCACCTCATATCTTATTTTTAAACAACCCCCAAATCTAATAGTTTCCAATTTTCCTAAAATTTTAAACATCCCCCTAATATTTAGACATTTAAAACATTCGAAACACTGAACATCCGAAAATCCTCAAAAAATAATTAAATTAAGGACTCCAACGCCGAGTCGTTTTTTAATTGAATGAAATCTTGGCTAGATATTTAAGAAAAAAAGGGTGGGAGTCAACGAAAAATAATGCTTTTAACCAGACTGCCCCCTAAATATTCAAATTTTGTTAAAATGCAGATCAATTCAGTGAAATAATGCTCTTTAAACAGCTGCTATGTTTGACCCGAATCTTCATTGATTAACAAAATTTTAGAGTACGTTATCCTACCTGACATGTAATAATTGTTTAAAAAAAATACTGAAAATTCCATCTTGTTTTTAAATTATGAATTATGTTTTTTGGTTTTGGTACCAGAAAGCTGACCTGACTTTTCCATCAGAGATATCAACACTGTACTAACATTAAAAACTCAGTGTTTATATTCCATGAAGATCGAAATAAATCTCCCCGATGTGACAGTTATATTTGAGTTATGGCATCATTTTCACATAGAGTCCTGATTTTTGTCCATTTTAATCGATAATTGAAAGAAATTGTGTCTATTAAGACATTCTCTTTGTGAGCTGAGATTAATGTCCGTGGTAACAAAGAAGACTTATTACGTACTTAGAGGAGTACTTTCTCCGTCAATATTTCCCTGTATTCAGATAGTATTGAATTATTCGTCCTCCTCGCTTGTCTTTCCAAAGATAGTTCGTCCTGCCGGTGAAAGGCTTGAGCATGAATCGAAGATGACGAGGATCATGATCTTACAGCTTTACGAATCTTCTTAGTTGTTGTTTAAAAGCCAGGGGTTACACGATTTTTAAGGTGATCGAGTCTACATTACGTTCTATATATTTTAGCCTCGTTACCCAACATATTGAAAGCACAATGAAATTGAAGATAATAATTGACTTACTCGTCGACGAACAATAATGTTTGCAAAATTTCTTATTGTTTCATTGCTTTATTAACGCTGTACGAAATCTTTGGCTCCGAGATCGGGTTTCCATTACGCGATATACCCTTACTGCCCGACGTCTAGTTAATGAATACAACATAGCATATAACCTAATAAGATAAACAGAAAACGTTTCTGATTGTCTCTTTAACTGCCTTCCTTACCTCTCTGATCCTCCAACAATAAAGAAAGGGGTTTAATGACGAGTTTGCTAAAACAAAAGAGAGTGTAATATTCCCTGCGAGGTAAACCGAGGAAGTTATCTCACTTTTTTCAGGCGATTCAGGACTTAAGGCCATAGCTATACCAAAAGGCAGATAACAAACAACCAATGTTACTTGCACCCACAGTGAATTGTAGACTGCCTTTCTGTATCGAGCTATATTCAGTGGAATTGTCTGGTTCCGTTTTCCTTGAAAAGCGCCGTCTTGAACTTGAAATTGCCTTTGTCGTAAGGTAAAGAAAATTTTAGCATAACACAGACTTGAGATGACTACACATAGTAATATAGTTAGAAACGAAGACCAGCCAAGTATTAGAGGATCCAAAGCGTAGGTTGCTGCGCCAATGAGAGCTGAGAAAACCCACATAAGAAATACACTTATATGTGCTTTTCTCATAGTTACAATATGTCTGTATCTGATCCCCAATATAAGGACAAGAAGCCTGTCCACACTTATGGCAGTCGATGTGAACAAAGAGACTGAACACAAAATGGTGCCAGTGATTTGACTTGCGTCATTTGTGTAATAGCAAATATCCCATCTCTCTGTTACGACGGACATCAAATAAGCAACAAATAGAGGCTCCGCAATGATACAAACACATAGATCAGTTTGCGCTAGGTTACGTAATAGGAGTTTGGACGGCTTATTAAGTGAAATCCTCTTGTGCAGGGCAACTAGAATTAGAGTGTTCCCCAGAAATGCAGTTATAGACAGAAAAATATTTAGCACTGAAACAAAGATAAGCTCATTGAGTCTTTCCTCCTTAAGTTTTTCTGAGCAATACAGTTCTCCAACTGTTTTCCGACTTTCCTCTCCGGTAAAATTTTTTTCCATTGCCATCCTTATTCTGCAATGCGACCTTGGACCATAAGTCTGGCGATAAACTTTATTTCTTCTTGAAGGTTATTCAGATTTAATTTAAATTCTTACCGCGGATATTGTGTTTATCAAGAAAAGGTCAACTTAATTACTAATCATCATGATTCATCTGTTCGTGGTCGAACGAATTCGGCATTGTACATTATTTAATATGTCCTGTGAATTTTGATTAATAGACACAGGGGATAATAAACCTTGCAATTACATTCTTCTCACGAACATAGCTTCTTTCATATAGTTATAAGATATTAAATGTCCAACAACGCAGGTTAATTTTAATTTTTAGTATTCTTCTCAGGAAAGCAACAGATGGTACTAATCATCAGAAAATGGATGTCAATATTGATGATAAGACTAATAATCCTGAGTTTTGATGGGTTCTTTCCGGCTATAGTTTCGTTCGTGATATGATAAGTGACTATTAAATCGTCTTCTGGTCATTCTTGCAAAATAACATAATTATACAAGATTTATCTAAATTTTTCTCTTATTTTTTCCTTCAGCTCATTTACTCTAGGGACCTGGCTACTACCTTCCAAAGAAAATTATAGCAGAGAAAAACGAGAAGTAATGTTACAAATTAAGCACTTTGAAACTTCCGTAGAAAGTCGGTAACTTTAACTGTAACATACAAAGTCTTGGCCATCGGGCGAGTAAGAAAAAGATCTGCATGTAAATTTTTATAATAACATAATGAACTTCATGTCCATCAAGGTTGACACCAGTCAATAGGTAGCATATACGGCCCTGGGGGACAGTTCTATTAGCTATGATCGAATAAATTCATAAGGCAAAATTTTGTTTGTGCTACATCTTTTTAAACGCTTATATCTCGGCTGTTTTAGAGGCGATTTTGATTAAATTTTACACAGACATTGTGGAATGATGCATGTTTAGGAGTATTGTTTTTTATTTGGTAGATAGCCCTTTTTTACGGATTTTAATAAGCCATAGTTGTACCAAAATACGAAATCGTGATTTTGTGCCCAACTTTGCGGGAATAATAGAAGACAGCATTCTTTGATTTTATTAATAAATGATCGGTCAAAACCTCTAGTGTATAAAGCAGATTTCACAATTTAAAGTTTGCCAGCAAGATATAAATTTAAATAATTAATCTGTCATCTCTGAAATAAACGCCTTATATCTTTTCAATTAAGAATTGCTCTCTATACATGACAGACTACAGTCTACCAGTTTACCTCTCTGCAGGGCCAGCTCGTGAAGTTTTTGCAGGTGATCACGTGATTGAGTGCATTAATGTTAAATTACTGATCATGAGCATAGCGGAATTTCTTTAGAGTAAAAGAGCAAGTTTGAAGCAAGCAAATGTTTAATGGTTCTTCACCGTATCATACGTGAGATTAACAATTTCCTTTAGACGTATTTTTAGTTACAATCATCGTAGCACAAAATTTAAGCTCTCATCAAAAAACCATGGCAACGGTTTGACGGGCTGTTCTACCCTTTCCCCACCCAACAAATTAACATAATATTCTCTGAGTAGTAATCAATCGTAACCGGTACAAAGCCCCAAAAGAGACGATGAAATCTTTCCAGATAATCCCACGTGATACCTCCAATTTGCGGTACCCTGAGGGTGGCCGCTTCATGGGATCAATTGTATTGCTTATGGGTAAATTTTTGCTATAAGACTAAACGGGCAAATTTTGCAGCCAGCAAGAGTTTAGTAGTCTTTCATTGTACAGTACGTGAGATAATCAATTATTTTCTTACTATTTGTTTTTGTAAGATCATCATGATGACAAAAACCCTGATTTGCGTTGGAAAATTAAGCAGTCATCAACATTATATATTATATACTGGTAATTTTATCTGAGGAGTGCCGTACATGCAGTGCGGTACGACACTAAGTAGTAATAAAAATGCCAAGTCTAATCTCACGTTGACACCAGACAGCCTTGATTATACTAAGCTCTAGTCCTTCTATTGAGCACTCTGCCGATAGCCGTGCATATGCATCAACTGGTATATATTATATACTAGGTTATCTGCAGAGGATTGGTGTGATATTCGATTAATTGTATTGACCTTAATCGAATTCAAAAGCTGATCAATACCAGTGATCGGCTTATAAGATCTTATTAGGAAGAAACCTAGCTAGCTTTTCTTCCCGACTGATGATTTAAAAACAAACTGAAATCAGTTAAGTATATTAATTGTGGACTAACTTGAAGAAGAAAAAAGTTGTCTGATTGTGTCTTTAACAGCTTGCCTTACTTCTCTGATCTTCCAGCAATAAATGAATGGGTTTAATGATGAGTTTAGTAGAAGTAAAGTGAGCGTCATGACATAAACCGACAAAGAAATCTCTGGTATAGTTGTCGCAATACCAAACGGCAGATAACAAACAACCAATGTTACCTGCACCCACAGTGCACTGTAAACTGCCTTTCTGTATCGAGCTAGGTTCAGTGGAATCTTTATTACTTCAGTTGGTCCTTGAGAACCGCTATCTTCGAGACGTATTTTTCTTCGTCGTAGCGCAACGAAAATTTTAGTGTAACACAGACTTGAGATGACTACACATAGAGATATTGTTATAAACATTGACCAGTCGAGTATAACAGTATCCAAAGAGTACATTGCTGCACCAATAACAACGGATATAACCCACATAATAATTACACTTATATACGCTTTTCTCAAAGTCGCAACTCGTCTGTATCTGAGGCCCAACGACAGGGCGAGAAGTCTGTTCACGCTTATTGCAGTCAAAGTGAACAAAGACACTGAACACAAAATGGCTCCAATGGCTAAACCTGTGTAGCCTAGTTCGTAGCAAATATCCCATCTTTGTTTTAACAAAGACATCAAATAAGCAACCAACAGAGGCTCCACAATGACACCAACACAGAGATCAGTTATCGCTAAGTTTCGAAACAAGAGTTTGGATGGCGGATGAAGTGAAGTTTCTTTGGGTAGAGCAGCTAGGATCAGAATATTCCCCAGAAATGTGGTAACAGACAGAAAAATATTTAGCACTGAAAGAAATATAAGTTCGCCGAATATTTTCCTTGTAAGTTTCTCGGAGTAATAGAACAGTTCTCCCTGTTTTGGTATTGCCATCTTCAATGGTATCCCGAACACAAGACTGTAGTGTTGAATTCATTCACATACTTTGTGAAGTGAATTTTTCCTGCGTAGAGCCGTGAAGATTAGAGTGTTCTCCAAAAACGCAGCAATGGACAGAAAAATGTTTAGCGTGGAAAGGACGATTAACTCCTCATGGACGTTGGTTAGCTCTACTGAACAATAGAATTCTGTGATCGCTTTTTCAAGCGTTGGGCCTGTCATCATTTTCTCTTCAATATTGAGTACGTGCAAGTGATCGCGAGCTTGGTAACGATAATTATGGCTTTTTACATCGAAGATATCGTATTCTTAATATTTCATCAATCCATGTTAATCGAATTGTTAGTCATGTCGTTTCAACTTTCTTTCGTGTGATATTTTATCTATTACACGCGTAATAAATATCCCATTGGGATACTCATTACCCCGGTGATTACAAGAACAGGTTTATATTTCTATATATTAAATAACATTCATTTATTCAATCAGTCAATCAATCAATAACTTTATAAACATGTCGGAAAACACTAATCGGGGGCACTAATCGGGACAATCGATTTTGAATTTGACGGTGATGGAAGAAAAGAGAGAAAACGAGGAAACGAATGTAAATTGATTGTATATAGTATTCAGTAATGTAAATCATATAAACCTCAAATGCACATCGAAAGCAAATCACATAAATGTCAAATACGGAAAATGATCTTTCATGCTACTCGATGAGGAAATATTTACCTTTAGACACAGTTTTTGTTCCTGCATGACAAATTTGTCTGTTAATGTTCATAGTTATTAAATTTCATGTTGGTGACCAAGAACCTCACGTCAAATCATTGAAATAGTAATTAGTCGAAAGCGTATTAAAAAAATTAGCAAATGATCTATATTCACACAGTTTTTTACGCACTGGGCGTTTATTTAATTGCTAGAAACGTTTTTTTTTTTCAATTATCAGCAAGTAAAGCATTAGTATCACATGACTCGTGTCCAAAAACTCTGGAAACTAGAAAAAATTGAAGCCCATTTAACGTTTAATACTTTTTGTTCAGTTTTGCGCAATTTAGCGAATCCCGAATAACCTTTTTCCTCCACACAAAACTGTTTAGGTGGGAAATTTAAGACCCCATCTATTGCTTTAAATTTTCCCTTATACGGTACCTAGCAACGGTTGGACGTATAATTTCGTGCTCCCTATCATTTTGTGACGATCAGAACTTAATTTTGATGCGCCCTCAAAACCTGAAAAATCACTCGGCCTTACTTCCGACCTTATGACTATAGGCACAGTTCGGAATTTCTATGAGCCATGTTTTTTGCTGCTTTGGTCGATTGAAAAGGTTGGGTTTTATGGATGTTGTTACCCCTAGCTTCCTGACATGTCGCGTATTAAGAGTACAATAGTTTATCTGCACGTGTTCTCTTTACATTGTAATGTAAACTGTACGGTCGGACGTCAGCACGCAATGGTCGGAACTTTTTTTATTCACCAATCTTCAACATGGGTGCGCACGTGCGTACGTGCGCACGTGCGTACAGGTAGCTACACCCAATCCGCATGTAAACAGCTGTCTACTTTTCCACCAAGATCCTTGAATTTTGTCTCTTTGACCTTAATAAGGAGTACATTTTCTTGAATTCTACTTGAAATAAACCGTATTTCATCTTATTCAGTGAGTCTTTTAATGGTTGAGGTCTAACCGCAGTGCTTTCGACGAAAATGGTTTCTACTCACATCGCAGGAGCCTGCTGACCTTAGCGCATTGCTTATTGATCTACTTCTTGCACCGAAGTTCATCCGCGATGTTAACACTCCGCCGGGAAAGCTTCAAGCTGAGAGCCGCCCTTGTGATAGCCATAGGTGACAGGCGTAAGTTTCCTAGTGATGCGCTGCTCTTTGCTTTTGCTGTAGTTAAAGTTTAATTTAGGCCAGCAAAATTGGATCAGGTGGCTAGGTCAGATAAGTCCTCTTATAGTTGTCCTACATCGCTCGTTCATGTAATCTCTTTGAAAACGTACCTTTGTATCATCGCAATGGTCGCGATCTGGCTTGATCTAACTGCATCAGCCAGAGAAATCACATATAACATAGGGTCCAGAATCGAACCCTGTGGGAACCCTGACGTCATAGGTACGGGGCTGGATGTCGCATCCAATGATAGTTTCCCAAAGAAGCTGTAACATGTTACATCACTTTAGTCTATAACTGAGGACGATTTCAAATTTGTTAATTTACTGGTTAATAAACTTTCTACCTGTTTCTCTGTAATTCTCTTTACCGTTTGATATGTTGATGTAAAGATTGAACAGAAAGAAGCGAAAACATGCTGCCTTTTCAGTACTGTTAGTTTTACGCAACATTTTGAGGGCACACCCGTGCTGATCTCAATTCAGTTGGCTGAATTTTAATTGCCGATCAACTAGTTTGATAAGCAGCATATTAAATGTCTTATTGTTTCTTTAACCGCTTGTCTTACTTCTTTGATCTTCCAGCAATAAATGAAAGGGTTTAATGACGAGTTGAGAAAAACCAAAGTATATGTGAACGTATTACCAAGGTAACCCGATAAAGAAAACTCAGAGCTTTCATAGTGAATCAAGGCTTGAACGACAAACGGCAGATAACAAACAACCAATGTTCCCTGCACCCACAGTGCACTGTACACCGCCTTTCTGTATCGAGCTATGTTCAGTGGAATTGCTTGATTCGGTTGTACTTGAGGAACCTGGCCCTGATGGGCTTGAATTTGGTGATGATGGAGGGTGAAAAAAATTTTTAGGTAAGAGAAAATTATTGTGGGTAAACAAAATGACAGAACTGTGTAGAGAAACGGTATAAATATATAAGGACTCCAAAAAATGCTTGACGAGCCAACAATGGACAATACCCACATAAAGAATACAGATATATAGACTTTTTTCAAAGTTACAGCTTGTCTGTATCTCAGCCCTAACAACAGGGCAAGAAGTCTGTCCAGGCTTATTGCAGTCGATGCCAACAAAGACACTCCGCACAAGATATAACCAGCAAAACCAGCTACCGCAAAAACATGATAGCAAATATCCCATCTTCCAGTCTTCAAAGACATCAAATAAGTAATAAAGAGGGGTTCCGCGATGATGCCAACACAGAGATCAGTTACTGCTAGGTTGCGATACAGGAGTTTGGACGGCGAATGAAGTGATTTTTCTTTGCGCAGGGCGGCTAGGATAAGGGTGTTCCCCAGAAATGCAGTAATGGACAAAAAAATATTTAGCACTGAAAGGACGATAATCTCGTCATGAACTTCAGCGGTGAATTCTGCTGAACAGTGCAATTTTGTTATGTTTTGCTTGTTTTTAGCAAGATGTGTTAGTTCTGCCATCTCTCTTCTAATGTTGAGTAGGGGCGCTGAGTGAGTTTTGCTTTGTCATATATGGTTTCCTATTACGAAGGTCGTCGTGCTAACATTTCAATCGTGTCAGTAAAAATGCAAGCAAAGTGCGTGGTAACTTCTTTTGGCGATCTTTCATGTTTGACATGTTTAATCAATATAAACCCACGGTTTTCATGCAATTATAAAGAATATCCTACTTCTTATTGTTCTTTAACCCTTAAAAACATAACTTTCTTGTAAGCTTCCTTCGATATGTTTAAATTGAACTTATAATGGGACGGGCTACAGGACAAAAGCCGAAAAAAGTAATAACCTTTTTGTGGATTGTATATTGTTGTCAATGGTGCCTGTTATTTGAATTAGATCAAATTGTTATCAATAATCATAAAGCAAAAGGAAATGAAAAGAAAAGTGATCTTGTGCGACAGTCGGGAAAGCCGTATAGGGAAGTGTTGACTTTACAACGCTTTTCCTGTTCCAATAAAGCAAACGAGTCCGTTTATGACAGGTAGCTTTGTGTTGGTGACAAATAAACTCATGTCAAACTTATTAGTAGACTTGAAATTTATTAGTCTGTGACTCTATGAATAGGAAGAACCTGATTTCAAAGTATTTTAGCACTGCTACGTTTTTTATATGGTTCAAAACTCAGGAGCCGTTTTGGACGTGAAAAATAAACAATAACTGAGCCATAACTGCGCTTCTTGGCTCAGTTGAAAAAGAATGCTTTCATAGACTCATGGTTAAAACATATCAAGCTGCTTCTTTTAGATCTGTTCTAAAGATTGATGTGAAAACATTGATTATTACCCTTGTTATGATTAGAACACCTACGTTCTCAGTACGTGTTCCGAACCTCCCCAGATCTCTGAGTCACAAACTCAACTTATGATTCGACCTCAAACTGACTTCCCTTCCATTGTCATTAAACTGTAATTATATTTCTGATTTTTGGACCTCCTGATGATTCAAAGCAATTAATAAATTAAAGCTTTTTCCCCCAGATAATTCGTAAAACGGGATTCTACTGTATAACACTATTAGTATTTGTCCAACCAGTCACGTACGAAATACAACACAAGCGTAGAAAGGGTATTTATCGGCCTGCAAACAGAAGAATAAGTTAAGGCTGTGGAGTTAAAATACAGTGAAATCTCCGCAGCATAATAATTATTAGTATAAATACCAAGCTATACCATGTACGTTCTCTTCTAATCATTTAAATTTGCCTTCGTTATCTTTACCGCAGTGTTCAACTATCCTTTGTGGACGAAGTAGGGCTATAACAGAATTCTCTAGACTAGCTTTCTCCTCATATTCTCTCTATTTTTTTAAAAGTAAATAACAGTTAAATATGCTGTCTTGTCACGATGAGCCATTGAGCACTCAACCCGTTATAAGGTCTGTTAACCCTATCATACCAGGTCTTTGTTTTGCACCTTGCGACAGGGGATGGCCTCCTTGAGCCCCCTTCTATAACATCAAAACCGCTGGTGGTACAGCCACCAAATGAACTCATCACATTTCCATGGCCACCATTTAAGCATAACTTGATTGACACAATGACGTAATTTGATGCAATGATTACGTCATTTTGTTGAACTAATTATTGGTAGAATGAAAAATTCCATCAATTTTTCCTCTCAAAATGAAAATTACTTAAATAGTAAGGTATGTGACAAGATCAAGACGTTGGCTGACACATTAGTTATCTTTAACAATAGCAGTGATGCCATGATGACGTCATTTATTAGAAGGATCTTGAATCATTCACCATCTTTGATCCGCCATTTGGAATCAATTAAATATCTTCAATTGTGCTTAAAACCCGTATAAATCGAGGTAATCGGGGGTAAAAATTGATGTCTATAAGAAGAATGCTTAGAAAGTAAGAAAATCTACAAGTTGTGAAATTTCGAGAGAAGTTAACACTGTTAAGATCTGTCATTGGGACATTTTAAATTCATGTTTTTTTCTCAAATCTGTCACTACAAGCCTGGATTACACTAAACGTGATAATAAATTTGATAAATGTATTTCTAACCTAAGTGTAATGCTATAATTCATTAAGTAAAAATAGAAATAAAGACTTTTTTTTATTTTCTTAAAACAAGAAAAGTTTGTAGCTATTGTAGCCAATAGTAATTTTTGAAATAGTCCTTCACTGTATCGTACGTGAGATCAACAATTTCCTTTCCTTGTATATTTAGTTAGGATCATCGTAATGACACGCAATTTAAGCACTCATCAAAAAAAGTCTGACCACGTCCAACCAACTAATTAACATAATATTCTATGCTCAATTTACTAATTAAAATATGAACAGTACAAAGACCTTCAAAAAGACGATGAAATCTTGTCATAAATCTCACGTGATACTTACTACAACATGACTGTAATTTTTTTAGTATGCTTTAGTATCTGTACTATTTAAGGGGACATTATGGTTGTTCTTTTTTTGAGGAAATGATGTTGATTTGGGAAGGAAACAAATAAGGGTAGAAAAAGTATACACATAAACCAGTTAGACCCCTAAAGGGATCAAAGGCAGCTTGTGGTGGTGTAGACTGTCTGGTATTTGTCTACTAATTATTCACCTCATATCTTAATTTTTAACGACCCCCAAATCTAATAACTTCCAATTTTCCCAAAATTTTAAACATCCCCCTAATTTTTAGACATCTAAAACATTCGAGACACTGATCATCCGAAAATCCTCAAAAAATAATTGAATTAAGGACTCCAACGCCGAGTCGTTTTTTAATTGAATGAAATATTGGCTAGATATTTAAGAAAAAGGGTGGGAGTCAACGAAAAATAATGCTTTTAATCAGACTGCCACCTAAATATTTAAATTTCGTTAAAATGCAGATCAATTCAGTGAAATAATGCTCTTTAAACAGCTGCTATGTTTGACCCGAATCGTCATTGATTAACAAAATTTTAGAGTACGTTATCCTACGTGACATGTAAAAATTGTTTGAAAAAAAAAACTGAAAATTCCATCTTGTTTTTAAATTATGAATTATGTTTTTTGGTTTTGGTAACAGAAAGCTGACCTGACTTTTCCATCAGAGATATCAACACTGTACGAACATTAAAAACTCAGCGTTTATCTTTCCTTGAAGATCGAAATAAATCTCCCCGATGTGACAGTTATATTTGATTTATGGCATCATTTTCACATAGAGTCCTGAATTTTGTCCATTTTAATCAATAATTGAAAGAAATTGTGTCTATTAAGACATTCTCTTTGTGAGCTGAGATTAATTTCCGTGGTAACAAAGAAGACTTATTACGTAATTAGAGGAGTACTTTCTCCGTCAATATTTCCCTGTATTCAGATAGTATTGAATTATTCGTCCTCCTCGCTAGTCTTTCCAAAGATAGTTCGTCTTGCCGGTGAAAGGCTTGAGCATGAATCGAAGATGACGAGGTGATTATCTTACAGCTTTACGAAACTTCTTAGTTGAATGTTGTTTAAAAGCCAGGGCTTACACAATTTTTAAGGTGATCGAGTCTACATTACTTTCTTTATATTTTAGCCTCGTTACCCAACATATTGAAAGCACAATGAGATTGAAGATAGTGATTGACTTACTCGTCGATAAACAATAATGTTTACGAAATTTCTTATCGTTTCATTGCTTTATTAACGCTGTACGAAATCTTTGGCTCCGAGATCGGGTTTCCATTACGCGATATACCCTTACTGCCCGACGTCTAGTTAATGAATACAACATAGCATATAACCTAATAAGATAAACAGAAGAAGTGCCTGATTGTCTCTTTAACTGCTTTCCTTACCTCTCTGATCCTCCAACAATAAAGAAAGGGGTTTAATGACGAGTTTGCTAAAACAAAAGAGAGTGTAATATTCCCTGCGAGGTAAACCGAGGAAGTTATCTCACTTTTTTCAGGCGATTCAGGACTTAAGGCCATAGCTATACCAAACGGCAGATAACAAACAAGCAATGTTACCTGCACCCACAGTGAATTGTAGACTGCCTTTCTGTATCGAGCTATATTCAGTGGAATTGTCTGGTTCCGTTTTCCTTGAAAAGCGCCGTCTTGAACTTGAAATTGCCTTTGTCGTAAGGTAAAGAAAATTTTAGCATAACACAGACTTGAGATGACAACACATAGTAATATAGTTAGAAACGAAGACCAGCCAAGTATTAGAGGATCCAAAGCGTAGGTTGCTGCGCCAATGAGAGCTGAGAAAACCCATATAAAAAATACACTTATATGTGCTTTTCTCATAGTTACAATATGTCTGTATCTGAGCCCCAATATAAGGGCAAGAAGCCTGTCCACACTTATGGCAGTCGATGTGAACAAAGAGACTGAACACAAAATGGTGCCAGTGATTTGACTTGCGTCATCTGTGTAATAGCAAATATCCCATCTCTCTGTTACGACGGACATCAAATAAGCAACAAACAGAGGCTCCGCAATGATGCCAACACATAGATCAGTTTGCGCTAGGTTACGTAACAGGAGTTTCGACGGTTTATTAAGTGAAATCCTCTTGTACAGGGCAACTAGAATTAGAGTGTTCCCCAGAAATGCAGTTATAGACAGAAAAATATTTAGCACTGAAACAAATATAAGCTCACTGAGTCTTTCCTCCTTAAGTTTTTCTGAGCAGTACAGTTCTCCAACTGTTTTCCGACTTTCTTCTCCGGTAAAATTTTTTTCCATTGCCATCCTTATTCTGCAATGCGACCTTGGACCATAAGTCTGGCGATAAACTTTATTTCTTCTTGAAGGTTATTCAAATTTGATTTAAATTCTTACCGAGGATATTGTGTTTGTCAAGAAAAGGTCAACTTAATTACCAATCATCATGATTCATCTGTTCGTGGTCGAGCGAATTCGGCATTGTACATTATTTAATATGTCCTGTGAATTTTGATTAATAGACACAGGGGATAATAAACCTTGCAATTACATTCTTCTCACGAACATAGCTTCTTTCATATAGTTATAAGATATTAAATGTCCAACAACGCAGGTTAATTTTAATTTTTAGTATTCTTCTCAGGAAAGCAACAGATGGTACTAATCATCAAAAAATGGATGTCAATATTGATGATAAGACTAATAATCCTGCGTTTTGATGGGTTCTTTCCGGCTATGGTTTCGTTCGTGATATGATAGGTGACTATTAAATAGTCTTCTGGTCATTTTTTACAAAATTACATAATTATACAAGATTTATCTAAATTTTTCTCTTATTTTTTCCTTTAGCTCATTCACCCAAGGGACCGGGATACTACCCTCCAAAGAAAGTTATTTAATTTAGCAGGGAGAGAAAACCGAGAAGTAATGTTACAAATTAAGCACTTTGAAACTTTCGAAGAAAGTCGGTAACTTTAACTGTAACATATAACGCCTTGGCGATCAGGAAAGTAAGAAAAAGATCTGCATGTAAATAATAAACTTCATGTCCATCAAGGTTGACACCAATCAATAGGTAGCATATAGAGCCCTGGGGAACAGTGCTATTAGCTATCATCGAATAAATTCATAGGGCAAAATTTTGTTTGTGCTACATCTTTTTAAACGCTTATATCTCGGCTGTTTTAGAGGCGATTTTGATACAGACATTGTGGAATGATGCAAGATTAGGAGAATTTAATAAATGATCGGTCAAAACTTCTAGATAAGTGTGTCATGTATAAAGCAGATTTCACAATTTAAAGTTTGCCAGCAAGATATAAATTTAAATAATAAATTTGTCATCTCTGAAATTAACGCCTTATATCTTTTTAATTAAGAATTCCGCTCTATACTTGACAGACTACAGTCTACCAAGTTTATCTCTCTGCAGGGCCAGCTCGTGAAGTTTTTGCAGGTGATCACGTGATTGAGTGTGTTAATGTTAAATTACTGATCATGAGCATAGCGGAATTTCTTTAGAGTAAAAGAGCAAGTTTGAAGCAAACAAATGTTTAATGGTTCTTCACCGTAACCTACGTGAGATTAACAATTTCCTTTAGACGTATTTTTAGTTAGTCATCGTAACACAAAATTTAAGCTCTCATCAAAAAACCATGGCAACGGTTTGACGGGCTGTTCTACCCTTTCCCCACCCAACAAATTAACATAATATTCTCTGAGTAATAATCAATCGTAATCGGTACAAAGCCCCAAAAGAGACGATGAAATCTTTCCAGATAATCCCACGTGATACCGCCAATTGGCGGTACCCTGAGGGTGGCCGCTTCATGGGATCAACTGTATTGCTTATGGGTAAATTTTTTCTATAAGACTAAACGGGCAAATTTTGCAGCCAGGACGAGTTTAGTAGTCTTTCATTGTACAGTACGTGAGATAATCAATTATTTTCTTACTATTTGTTTATGTAAGATCATCATGATGACAAAAACCCTGATTTGCGTTGGAAAATTAAGCAGTCATCAATATTATATATTATATACTGGCAATTTTATCTGAGGAGTGCCGTACATGCAGTGCGGTACGAAACTAAGTAGTAATAAAAATGCCAAGTCTAATCTCACGTTGACACCAGACAACCTTGATTATACTAAGCTCTAGTCCTTCTATTGAGCACTCTGCCGATAGCCGTGCATATGCATCAACTGGTATATATTATATACTAGGTTATCTGCAGAGGATTGGTGTGATATTCGATTAATTGTATTGACCTTACTCGAATTCAAAAGCTGATTAATACCAGTGATCGGCTTATAAGATCTTATTAGGAAGAAACCTAGCTACAATGAGGGACAAAAGTGTTGACACACTTCCATAAAATGGCCCCTTTTTGCATAGTGGATATACTTATCCCCTTCCCCTGTCTACCCCAACCCCTTCCCCCCAAAATCAATGTTGAATTTTGGACCCTCAAGTCTTTTTTTTACTTCAGACAACATTGATTCGGGGCGTGAGGGGATTTACGGCGTTTAAAAAGAATGAAATAATAAATGAATTAAATGTTTGTTAAAAAGCACCCGTTTTAAACAAGTGTGTCAACTACTTTTGTCCCTCATTGTCTGAAACATGTATCTGTGTTTTCCGGCTAGAGTTTTGACGCTGCTGAATTTTTGTGCGATGACGTTACTCTATGGGCGAAATTGTTTGTTTATAAACAACAATTTGTAAGGTTTCGTCCTGATTTGTAGTATGCGTAGAGTAAAATGTACGAAGCGTATGTCATTACTTAATCTTGCACTCCCGCGCGCGTTCCTGATACCCTGTCGGGTCGAGAGGAAATCATTTGTGTTGTGATCAATGCCGTTGCTGCGGATGTAATGTTCTCGCAAGTATTATCAATAGTGGAAAAAGGATGGAAACACTAGGGTACAATGAAAATTGTTCTGGTAAATGGTTAACTTAAGCGAATGAAGTGCTGCAAAGTAACGGAGGGGACATGCATTATTTTTGACATTGACTTGTGCCATTAGTGAAAGGACGTGAAATGATGAGCCAGCCGTTTGTGCTATGCCCTATATATATATGAGTTTTTTTTTTTTTTTTGGAGACCTTTTCAAACCTAACTGATCCAAACCTTTAGCGTAGGTAGCCGTCGAACAGGTTAGACCAGGTTAGGAATGTACTTTAGTTGTAATGATTTTAGATGACCGCCTGCCATTTATTCAGTGGCATGATTTTTTATTGATGTTGGATGGACAACTATTTCATTTCCCTGCTCGTAAATCACAGAATGCCAAAGAAATTGTTTTCAAGATAGACACACCAGTTTGTATCATCGCCAAAACAGCAATTACTTTGGCCCAGAAGTTCACTTGATGACAAGGAAAGCGGGATAACACTTGATCGATGACGGCCGTGCGCTGGAAAATCTTCCTTTTTTATGCGCTAATTCCTCACAAAAGGCAAAAGAAGATTCCGCTATGTAGAAAGTGCTTCGCAATACGTATTCTTGGCGAGAAAAATTCCAGCGATGTGGTGCAAATAAGCAGTTTCAACGGTTAACCACGAGAATACATATCGTTATTAAGAGGTCATAACAGACTAATGTTACTTTCCGTTTGCCGAAACGTGGTTAACCGTTGTAACTCGAAGGAGGCAGTGTTTTCCTCAGTTTGAGCTGTTGTTTTTTTTGAGAGTCAAATACCAGTTCACGTTTCAAAGCTCTCTTTTCATTTTCTCTGCCGACAATAGCCAAAAACACGGGGTTTCGCTTAAGAAATGCTGTCCAAATAGTCACAAACTGACTTCCCTTCCATTGTCATTAAACTGAAATTATATTTCTGATTTTTGGACCTCCTGATGATTCAAACCAATTGATAAAGCTTTTTCCCCAAGATGATTCGAAAAACGGGATTCTATACTGTATAACACTATTAGTATTTGTCTAACCAGTCACGTACGAAGTACAACACAAACGTAGAAAGGGTATTCATCGGCCCACAAACAGAAGAATAAGTTAAGGCAGTGGAATTATAAAATACAGTGAAATCTCCGAAGCATAATAATTATTAGCACAAATACCATGTACGTTGTCTTCTAATCATTTAAATTTGCCTTCGTTATCTTTACCGAAGTGTTCAACTATCTTTTGAGGGCGAAGTAGGGTTATAACAGAATTCTTTAGACTATCTTTCTCCTCATATTGTCACTATTTTTTGTAAAGTAAATAACAGTTCAATATGCTGTCTTGTCACGATAAGCCATTGAGCACTCAACCCGTTATAAGGTCTGTTAACCCTATCATACCAGGTCTTTTTTTTGCACCTTGCGACAGGGGATGGCCTCCTGGAGCCCCCTTCGATAACATCAAAACCGCTGGTGGTACAGCCACCAAATGAACTCCTCACATTTCCATGGCCACCATCTAAGCATAACTTGATTGACACAATGACGTAATTTGATGCCATGATTACGTCATTTTGTTGAACTAATTATTGGCAGAATGAAAAATTCCATCAATTTTTCCTCTCCAAATGAAAATTACTTATAGCAAGGTATGTGACAAGATCAAGACGTTGGCTGACACATTAGTTATCTTTAACAATAGCAGTGATGCCATGATAGCGTCATTTATTAGAAGGATCTTAAATCATTCACCATCTTTGATCCGCCATTTTGAATCAATTAAATATCTTCAATTTTGCTTAAAACCCGGTGTATAAATCGAGGTAATCGGGGGTAAATATTGATGTGTATAAGAAGGATGCTTAGAAAGTAAGAAAATCTACAAGTTGTGAAATTTCGAGATAAGTTAACACTGTTAAGAACTAAACCTAGTATATGTCATTGGGACAGTCTAAATTCATGTTTTTTTTTTCAAATCTGTCACTACAAGCCTGGATTACACTGAACGTGACAATAAATTTGATAAATGTATTTCTAACTTAAGTGTAATGCCATAATTCATTAAGTAAAAATAGAAATAGAGACTTTTTTTATTTTCTTAAAACAAGAAAAGTTTGTAGCTATTGTAGCCAATAGTGTTTTTTGACATAGTCCTTCACTGTATCGTACGTGAGATCAACAATTTCCTTTCCTAGTGTATTTAGTTAGGGTCATCGTAATGACACGCAATTTAAGCACTCATCAAAAAAAGACTATGGCAAAATACGGTTTGACCTCCTGCTCTGACCACGTCCAACCAACTAATTCAATTCCAAGTTGGCTTGATGTAATGCAAACGGAAAAATAATTCGCATGGCGCGCTTCTGTAGCTGTTCTAGCTCTGCGGATAAATATGCGGGAAGCGCGTTGTGAAACACCGGGCATGCGTATTCCGTTACTGGGCGGATACAGGTCAAGTAAAAGATTAGCAGATCTTTGGCGGGAATATTCGCTCTCTTCAGTTGTTTAAACAAATATAATCGACTCGCTACTTTTTTACTTATTTCAGCAACATGACAGTTCCACCGAAGGTCGGATGATATATTTAGACCTAACAACTTAACAGTGGACACTACCTCTATTGCTTTCCCGTTGATAACAATGGGAGCAAAGTCCGCGCTGATTTAGCGAACGAAATTCTTTGTTCCTTACACTTCGACTCGTTTAACTGGAACTTGTTTTGGTTAGACTTAGCGATCAGTTCCTCCAAATCAGATTGGATACGGCTGTCTTCCTTCNCTCTGCGGATAAATATGCGGGAAGCGCGTTGTGAAACACCGGGCATGCGTATTCCGTTACTGGGCGGATACAGGTCAAGTAAAAGATTAGCAGATCTTTGGCGGGAATATTCGCTCTCTTCAGTTGTTTAAACAAATATAATCGACTCGCTACTTTTTTACTTATTTCAGCAACATGACAGTTCCACCGAAGGTCGGATGATATATTTAGACCTAACAACTTAACAGTGGACACTACCTCTATTGCTTTCCCGTTGATAACAATGGGAGCAAAGTCCGCGCTGATTTAGCGAACGAAATTCTTTGTTCCTTACACTTCGACTCGTTTAACTGGAACTTGTTTTGGTTAGACTTAGCGATCAGTTCCTCCAAATCAGATTGGATACGGCTGTCTTCCTTCTTGTCAACACACTCTGCAATAGTTGTGTCATCCACGTATTTCCACAGTTCCGTGTTACTGGTGTTGATGTCATCGATCATGAGAATAAACAGCCACGGACCGAGCTTGGTTCCCTGAGGCACCCCTGCCGGTACGTTCCTCCATTCAGAGAAGCAATGTTCTCCCAATTTGACTCTCTGCGTGCGATCTGTAAGGAAATCGATGATCCAAAACGATACGCCAACCGGCATGTCCATAGCGAGAAACGTGTGGTCTATCAAATCGAAAGCCTTCTGGTAATCGAATAAGACGACCCTGACGGTGGATCCTGTACCATCAGTGTGTTTGGTCAAGGAGTGCACCATACTGATAAGCGCATGCGTTGTTGAGGATTCTGGGATAGCCCCAAATTGGTTGTCTCCGATTTTCTTGAGAATTGATGGTCGCAGGTGTCCGCAACAACAAACACAATAACATAATATTCTGTGCTCAATTTACTAATTAAGATATGAACAGTACAAAGACCTTCAAAAAGACGATGAAATCTTGTCATAAATCCCACGTGATACTTACTACAACATGACTGTAATTTTTTTAGTATGCTTTAGTATCTGTACTATTTAAGGGGACATTACGGTTGTTCTTTTTTTGAGGAAATGATGTTGATTTGGGAAGGAAACAAATAAGGGTAGAAAAAGTATACACATAAACTAGTTAGTCCACTAAAGGGATCAAAGGCAGCTTGTGGTGGTGTAGACTGTCTGGTATTTGTCTACTAATTATTCACCTCATATCTTAATTTTTAACAACCCCCAAATCTAATAGTTTCCAATTTTCCCAAAATTTTAAACATCCCCCTAATTTTTAGACATTTAAAACATTCGAAACACTGATCATCCGAAAATCCTCAAAAAATAATTGAATTATTATAATTGAATTATTATTTTTAATTGGCTGAAATCTTGGCTAGATATTTAAGAAAAAGGGTGGGAGTCAACGAAAAATAATGTTTTTAACCAGCAGACTGCCCCCTAAATATTTAAATTTCGTTAAAATGCAGATCAATTCAGTGAAATAATGCTCTTTAAACAGCTGCTATGTTTGACCCGAATCGTCATTGATTAACAAAATTTTACAGTACGTTATCCTACCTGACATGTACTAATTGTTTGAAAAAAATACTGAAAATTCCATCTTGTTTTTAAATTATGAATTATGTTTTTTGTTTTTGGTACCAGTAGGCATACCCGAATTTTTCATCAGAGATATCAACACTGTACTAACATTAAAAACTCAGTGTTTACTTTTCCATAAAGATCGAAATAAATCTCCCCGATGTGACAGTTACATTTGAGTTATGGCATCAATTTCAAATAGAGTCCTGATTTTTGTCCATTTTAATCAATAATTGAAAGTAATTGTGTCTATTAAGACATTAATTCTCTTTGTGAGCTGAGATCAATTTCCGTGGTAACAAAGAAGACTTTTTACGTACTTAGAGGAGTACTTTTTCCGTCAATTTTTCGCTGTATTCAGATAGTATTGAATTATTCGTCCTCCTCGCTTGACTTTCCAAACATTGTTCTTCTTGCCGGTTGAAGGCTTGAGCAAGAAGATGACGAGGATTATCTTACAGCTTTACGAAACTTCTTATTTGTTGTTTAAAAGCCAGGGGTTACACGATTTTTAAGGTGATCGAATCTACATTACTTTCTATATATTTTAGCCTCGTTACCCAACATATTGAAAGCACAATGAGATTGAAGATAATAATTGACTTACTCGCCGATGAACAATAATGTTTGCAAAATTTCTTGTTGTTTCATTGTTTTATTAACGCTGTACGAAATCTTTGGCTCCGAGATCGGGTTTCCATTACGCGATATATCCTTACTGCCCGACGTCTAGTTAATGAATCCAGCATAGCATATAACCTAATAAGATAAACAGAAAACGTTTCTGATTGTCTCTTTAACTGCTTTCCTTACCTCTCTGATCCTCCAACAATAAAGAAAGGGGTTCAATGACGAGTTTGCTAAAACAAAAGAGAGTGTAATTTCCCCTGCGAGGTAAACCGAGGAAGTTATCTTACTTTTTTCAGGCGATTCAGGCCTTAAGGCCATAGCTATACCAAAAGGCAGATAACAAACAAGCAATGTTACCTGTACCCACAGTGAATTGTAGACTGCCTTTCTGTATCGAGCTATATTCAGCGGAATTGTTTGGTTCCGTTTTCCTTGAAAAGCGCCGTCTTGAACTTGAAATTGCCTTTGTCGTAAGGTAAAGAAAATTTTAGCATAACACAGACTTGAGATGACAACACATAGTAATATAGTTAGAAACGAAGACCAGCCAAGTATTAGAGGATCCAAAGCGTAGGTTGCTGCGCCAATGAGAGCTGAGAAAACCCACATAAAAAATACACTTATATGTGCTTTTCTCATAGTTACAATATGTCTGTATCTGAGCCCCAATATAAGGGCAAGAAGCCTGTCCACACTTATGGCAGTCGATGTGAACAAAGAGACTGAACACAAAATGGTGCCAGTGATTTGACTTGCGTCATTTGTGTAATAGCAAATATCCCATCTCTCTGTTACGACGGACATCAAATAAGCAACAAAGAGAGGTTCCGCAATGATACCAACACATAGATCAGTTTGCGCTAGGTTTCGTAACAGGAGTTTGGACGGCCTATTAAGTGAAATCCTCTTGTGCAGGGCAACTAGAATTAGAGTGTTCCCCAGAAATGCAGTTATAGACAGAAAAATATTTAGCACTGAAACAAAGATAAGCTCACTGAGTCTTTCCTCCTTAAGTTTTTCTGAGCAGTACAGTTCTCCAACTGTTTTCCGACTTTCCTCTCCGGTAAAATTGTTTTCCATTGCCATCCTTATTCCGCAATACGACCTTGAACCATAAGTCTGGCGATAAACTTTATTTCTTCTTGAAGGTTATTCACATTTAATTTTAATTCTTACCGCGGATATTGTGTTTATCAAGAAAAGGTCAACTTAATTACCAATCATCATGATTCATCTGTTCGTAGTCGAGCGAATTCGGCATTGTACATTATTTAATATGTCCTGTGAATTTTGATTAATAGACACAGGGGATAATAAACCTTGCAATTACATTCTTCTCACGAACATAGCTTCTTCCATATAGTTATAAGATATTAAATGTCCAACAACGCAGGTTAATTTTAATTTTTAGTATTCTTCTCAGGAAAGCAACAGATGGTACTAATCATCAGAAAATGGATGTCAATATTGATGATAAGACTAATAATCCTGAGTTTTGATGGGTTCTTTCCGGCTATAGTTTCGTTCGTGATATGATAAGTCGTTATTAAATCGTCTTCTGGTCATTCTTGCAAAATAACATAATTATACAAGATTTATCTAAATTTTTCTCTTATTTTTTCCTTCAGCTCATTTACTCTAGGGACCTGGCTACTACCTTCCAAAGAAAATTATAGCAGAGAAAAACGAGAAGTAATGTTACAAATTAAGCACTTTGAAACTTCCGTAGAAAGTCGGTAACTTTAACTGTAACATACAAAGTCTTGGCCATCGGGCGAGTAAGAAAAAGATCTGCATGTAAATTTTTATAATAACATAATGAACTTCATGTCCATCAAGGTTGACACCAGTCAATAGGTAGCATATACGGCCCTGGGGGACAGTTCTATTAGCTATGATCGAATAAATTCATAAGGCAAAATTTTGTTTGTGCTACATCTTTTTAAACGCTTATATCTCGGCTGTTTTAGAGGCGATTTTGATTAAATTTTACACAGACATTGTGGAATGATGCATGTTTAGGAGTATTGTTTTTTATTTGGTAGATAGCCCTTTTTTACGGATTTTAATAAGCCATAGTTGTACCAAAATACGAAATCGTGATTTTGTGCCCAACTTTGCGGGAATAATAGAAGACAGCATTCTTTGATTTTATTAATAAATGATCGGTCAAAACCTCTAGTGTATAAAGCAGATTTCACAATTTAAAGTTTGCCAGCAAGATATAAATTTAAATAATTAATCTGTCATCTCTGAAATAAACGCCTTATATCTTTTCAATTAAGAATTGCTCTCTATACATGACAGACTACAGTCTACCAGTTTACCTCTCTGCAGGGCCAGCTCGTGAAGTTTTTGCAGGTGATCACGTGATTGAGTGCATTAATGTTAAATTACTGATCATGAGCATAGCGGAATTTCTTTAGAGTAAAAGAGCAAGTTTGAAGCAAGCAAATGTTTAATGGTTCTTCACCGTATCATACGTGAGATTAACAATTTCCTTTAGACGTATTTTTAGTTACAATCATCGTAGCACAAAATTTAAGCTCTCATCAAAAAACCATGGCAACGGTTTGACGGGCTGTTCTACCCTTTCCCCACCCAACAAATTAACATAATATTCTCTGAGTAGTAATCAATCGTAACCGGTACAAAGCCCCAAAAGAGACGATGAAATCTTTCCAGATAATCCCACGTGATACCTCCAATTTGCGGTACCCTGAGGGTGGCCGCTTCATGGGATCAATTGTATTGCTTATGGGTAAATTTTTGCTATAAGACTAAACGGGCAAATTTTGCAGCCAGCAAGAGTTTAGTAGTCTTTCATTGTACAGTACGTGAGATAATCAATTATTTTCTTACTATTTGTTTTTGTAAGATCATCATGATGACAAAAACCCTGATTTGCGTTGGAAAATTAAGCAGTCATCAACATTATATATTATATACTGGTAATTTTATCTGAGGAGTGCCGTACATGCAGTGCGGTACGACACTAAGTAGTAATAAAAATGCCAAGTCTAATCTCACGTTGACACCAGACAGCCTTGATTATACTAAGCTCTAGTCCTTCTATTGAGCACTCTGCCGATAGCCGTGCATATGCATCAACTGGTATATATTATATACTAGGTTATCTGCAGAGGATTGGTGTGATATTCGATTAATTGTATTGACCTTAATCGAATTCAAAAGCTGATCAATACCAGTGATCGGCTTATAAGATCTTATTAGGAAGAAACCTAGCTAGCTTTTCTTCCCGACTGATGATTTAAAAACAAACTGAAATCAGTTAAGTATATTAATTGTGGACTAACTTGAAGAAGAAAAAAGTTGTCTGATTGTGTCTTTAACAGCTTGCCTTACTTCTCTGATCTTCCAGCAATAAATGAATGGGTTTAATGATGAGTTTAGTAGAAGTAAAGTGAGCGTCATGACATAAACCGACAAAGAAATCTCTGGTATAGTTGTCGCAATACCAAACGGCAGATAACAAACAACCAATGTTACCTGCACGCATAGTGCACTGTACACTGCCTTTCTGTATCGAGCTAGATTCAGTGGAACCTTTATAACTTCAGTTGGTCCTTGAAAAGCGCTATCTTCGAGACGTATTTTTCTTCGTCGTAGTGCAACGAAAATTTTAGTGTAACACAGACTTGAGATGACTATACATAGAGATATTAATATAAACATTGACCAGTCGAATATAACAGTACCCAACAAAAAGTAGACTGCTGCGCCAATAACAACGGATATAACCCACATAGTAATTACACTTATACACGCTTTTTTCAAAGTCGCGACTTGTCTGTATCTGAGGCCCAACGACAGGGCGAGAACTCTGTCCACGCTTATTGCAGTCAATGTTAACAAAGACACTGAACACAAAATAGCTCCAATGGCTAAACCTGCGTAGTCTAGGTAGTAGCAAATATCCCATCTTTGTTTTACCAAAGACATCAAATAAGCAACCAACAGAGGCTCCGCAATGATACCAACACAGAGATCAGTTATCGCTAAGTTTCGAAACAGGAGTTTGGATGGCGGATGAAGTGAAGTTTCTTTGGGTAGAGCAGCTAGGATCAGAGTGTTCCCAAGAAATGTGGTAACAGACAGAAAAATATTTAGCACTGAAAGAAATATAAGTTCGCCGAATATTTTCCTTGTAAGTTCCTCGGAGTAATAGAACAGTCCTCCCTCTGTTTCCTGGCGTTCATCTTTTGTAAAATTTTTTGGTATTGCCATCTTCAAATCTTCAATGCTATCCCGAACAAAAAACTGTAATGTTGAATTCATTCACCTACATTGTATATTAATTTTTTTCTCCGGTTCATCCTATCTAAATTTATTTAAATTCTTACGGGGGATAATTATTGACTGCGTTTCCTCAATAAACTCGACTTCATTACCAGTCCCCTTTTTTTGAAAGTTTAAATGTTGTTTTAATCTCCGGAAAAATTTTTGACTGCGTGAGGCAGAAGACAATAATATTCGTTATTAAATGGTTCATCTCAAACAAATTTTCCTTTTGTCATAGTTAGGAGTTATTTGTTGTCCGTTATTAACGCACGTTTTTAAATGTTTACATGTAGCTCTTTTCTTGCGAAAAAAAACATATGGCACGTATTATCAAAAACTAGATGTCAGTCAATATCGATGACCGTGCAAATATCCCAGAGTTTTAATTGGTTTATCTTGGATAGTATATGAAAAGCGAACATTAAATTATATCCTAGTCAAAATTAATCAAACTTTTTAAAAATTTCTTGCCTTCTTCTTCGTCTTAAAAAAAGAAATCGACGATACACATCTCGTTTGTCGATTCTCATTATCAAAAACGCGCGCACCCTCGGAAACTAGTTGTCAGTTATTATTGATATGGCTTTAGTTTCACTGGTTTTACATTAACCTGCCAGAGAAATGTAGTCACAGGCATAAAAAAAAACCCAGTGGTTTTTTGAGAATTTTTATTCAAGCCCTATTGCGGTGAAAAAATATATATATAAAGAAAGTGTATATCATTTAAAGAGGCAGCGTTAAATAGGCAAGTTTCCTATTCCCCAACGGCCCTGGGAAGAGAGCCTTCTTAGCATGATTGCGAGAATGCGGGTCAACCTCTTGGCGAAAACAAAAAAAAAAACATAGGCAAATAGACCTTGTCGGTCACGGTTTTCGACGCCATCTTGACGAGTAGGAAAACGCGTGAGAAATTACAGTGTTTGAATGAGAAATGAATCTAACGTCGAAAAATTTCTGCAGAACGACTGATGTGAAAAAAAAAGAGTTCTAAACTAAAGGATTCTACTGAAAAAAATTGAGGGCGTTACATGCGGTAGAAGACCTAAAACCACTTTTTAAAATTTTCAATACATTTGTCCGGTAAGACGGTCCCGGGAAAAATTACAGACAAATATATGGAAAATCTAAAGGAAGGTTCTGGAGAAAATTAAGCACAAGGACGCCCCAAAAATGTTTTAGTACAATTCTTTGCTTTGTAGCTTTAGTTTACAATTCATATTTTTCTCTGAACAGCTGTTTTACGAAAATTATCAGTCTACATTAGATTCTCATACAACACTGTAATTTCACACACGTTTGCCTCCCTGTCAAGATGGCGTCGAAAACAGTGACAAGGTCTATCGCCGCTGAGTCATGCTGAGTAGCTGGAAAACGATAGAAATCATGAACAAAATAGTAAGCTTAAAGGGATAGCTGTTTCAAAAACAACAAAACTATGGGAAGAGCTGGCGTACAAACAGAGAAGTGAAAAAAGCCACGACTAAGCTGAAAGTGGTATTAAA